ATAGTGCATGCACTGCAATGAAATTGCCAATAAAGTGTATGATATTGAAAAATATTATATACAATATTTACATGTGATGAATATATTTACATGACAAGACAATATTATGGTGCATGATTTGATTATCAATAGATTAGATAAGAAAACCTGTCTGTGCTTGTCTAGTTCATAGGATTATTCAGTTCACATAAGTTTATTTGTAGTGATCGAGGAGTTTTGGTTCGAGTAACTAGATAGGATTTTGGTTTTGGTTTGAGCATAATTTATCATGGTACTTACACAAGCAAGATACTCTGACAGTAAATCCTGTAAAGCTTGTCTCACATTGTTACATTCCTGTATAATCCTTTCTCTAGTATCATCACGAGTACAGGAAGAATCCGCCATCAATGCGGCAGCGCTTATTATACCTTCCAGTTTCTCTTCTAGAGATGGCCTCGTGCGTCTCTCTTTGTAATCACCAGGACTCATTAGAACTTCTCTCTGTGTAGTTTGAAATAATATAGAAATTTTTTTTTTATGTAGAATAAAAATATAAAACAAATGAAGAGTGTTTTATTAAAAGTGCAAAGTTCCTTGAGGCAACTAAATAATTCTTACATCTAATTCTTCCAATGCTGCAGCAAGTTCACCAGGACTGGAGATAGTTGGATCGGGTTTAGATTTTCCGGTAGCTTGAGCCACATCAGATATTTTGTTTACTGCATCACTTAACTGTTTGACAACATAGTCTTTGTTCTCTCTGGCTGCTGCTACCTCAGGATGATGGATATAAGCCTGAAATTATTAAGTATAGAAATTATAGTAGGTTTGTATATTTCTTGAAACGGTGGAAATAAGGTGACTGTGCCATATCGTGAAGTGTGAGTGCCGCCTTGTGGTAATTTTTTATAATAAAATAATTAAATAAAACAGTATTATGCAGAAAATGAAACAAATTGATGAAATCATGCCATGAATTCCCTTCGTACTGAAGGGATGACCATTAGAAACTCATGGTGGGGATTGAAAAAAACAAACTATTTTATGTAATTAAAATACATTCTAATTTATTAGAGGAAAATAAAAACAACTATTTACAGCAACATCATCCCGGAAAAAAATATATATATTAAACTAAGTGAAGGAAAAAAATATTTGCACATTTTTTCTGCTATCTCTCTAGCCAGAGTTTGTAAATGTCAGTTAAACAGCCAATTCTGTGATATCACAATGTGCAAGGAATATAATGTTACCGGAAGGTAATTCAGTATTTTGTCACCCGCATTTCTTTGCTCATTAAACAATTTTGAGAGCACAAAATATCAAATGCAAATATCAAACACAATGATTCACTCGGTACTGAAATCAATACAACATGTGAAGAAGAACTTGGTCCATTTATTAATGTATTGATGCACTTATGTTCTCATAGCCACTCATGACATGTCAATATCGCTTGCTAGTTCATATCAGTACATGTATGTATGCAACTTAGACAGCAACACGTACCTTAAATGTCATATTTTTTTAAAGTGCATTTGGTGTACTTTTTTTTATTGTATTGTAATCCTTTTCATTCTTTCCAAGAGTTGTTATGTGTTAATAAAATTATCTCATCTCATCTTATTTAGAATTCTATAATTTTACTGAGTAACTGTTGTGTGAGTTATTTAAAATTAAAAATTTTAACTTTAGATTATTCTCTTCCACAAAAGTACTTTCAGGTTCATAATGTTATTTAATTTAATTATACAGCTGGGAGCAAATGCAATAGAATACT